ACTTTATTATAATTAGTCTTTTTCCCGGTCCCCTATTTAGGTTTTCTAAATTCCTGCTATGAGTGAGACCATCTGGTATTTTTCTTTTTCTTTCTGGCTTATTTCACTGAGCATGATCCCTTCCAGCTCCATCCATGTTGCACCACATCACCCATGAACCATCACCATAGGACCTTGTGCTCTTCTTCCCATCACCTGCTATGTGTTCAGATTTATAATTTACCTTCTAGTTTTGTCTTTGTTTTCTCATGACCCCTTGTTCAGTTTCCCTATATTCCTCCTATAAGTGAAACCATCTGATATTTTTCTTTTTCCTTCTGACTTATTTCAATTAACATAATCTCTTCTAGCTCTATCCATGTTACTGCAAATTGAATGAATTTATCATTTTTTATAGCTGAATAGTATTCTGTTGTGTATAGATATCATATTTTCCTGATCCAGTCATTTGTTTGGGGCCATTTAGGTTGTTTCCATATCTTAGCAATTATAAATAGTGCTGCAATAAACATAGGAGTGCAGGTTTCCTTTCAAATGAATGTTTTTGTGTCCTTTGGGTAGATTCCTAGGAGTAGAATTGCTGAGTCATATAGTAGCTCCATTTTTAGTAATTTGAGTGTACTCCACATAGCTTTCCATAGTGGTTGGACCAGTTTGCAGCCTAACCAAAAGTGTAAAAGGGTTCCTTTCCTCCATGTCCTCGCCAGCATTTGTTGTTGCTGATATTTTTAATATGTGCCATTCTCACTGGTGTGAGGTGGTATCTCATTGTGGTTTTGATTTGCATTTCCCTGATTATAAATTATGTTGAGCATTTTTTCATGTACCCATTGGTCATTTGCATTTCCTCCTCAAAGAAGTGTCTTTTTAACTCTTCTGCCCATTTTTTGACTGGACTGTTTGGTTAGTTTTTGTTGAGTAGTGTGAGCTCTTTGTAGATCTTTGAAATCAGTCTCTTATCATGAACTGATAAATTTAACAAAACTGTATTTCTTGTAACTTAAAAATTAATTCAAATTTCATCTAGAAAAATGAACTTGATTGAAAAAGCCAAGAAAATATTGAAAAAGAAGACTAATAATAATTAGGGGCCACACCTAAAAATACAAAAAAATCCTTTAAAACATCAATAAACAGAATGGTTTTGATATCTGAGTATAAAGAAGCATTAGTGTGATAAAGGACTGATCACAAAAATCTGCAAAGAGCTGATGAGACTCAGCAACAACAAAGAAAATAATCCAGTCAAAAAATGGGCAGAAGAGCTAAAAAGAAACTTCTCTGAAGAGGAAATGCAAATGGCCAACAGACATATGAAAAAATGTTCAACATCACTTGTAATCAGGGAAATGCAAATCAAAACTACCATGAGATACCATCTCACACCAGTGAGAATGGCACATATTAAAAAAACTAGCAACAACAAATGTTGGCGAGGATGTGGAGAAAAAGGAACTCTTGTGCACTGTTGGTGGGAGTGCAAAGTGGTCCAACCACTATGGAGAGCTGTGTGGAGATTTCTGGACCTACTAAACATAGAGCTTCCATATGATCCAGCAATTCCACTCCTAGGTATTTACCCAAAGGACACAGAAACATCAATTCCAAAGAGCACCTGCACTCCTATGTTTATAGCAGCACTGTTTACAATAGCTAAGCTTTGGAAACAACCCAAATGCCCAAAAATAGATGACTGGATCAAGAAGATGTGGTACATATATACCATGGAATATTACTCAGCATTCAAAAAAGATAAACACATGCAATTTGCAGCAACATGGATGGCGCTGGAAGGGATCATGCTCAGCGAAATAAGCCAAAAAGAAAAAGAAAAATACCGGATGGTCTCACTCATAGCAGGAATCTAGAAAACTTAAATAAGGGACCAGGAAAATGAATATAAGAAAGTGAAAATCAAAATCAACAAAAAACTATGAACCAGAGACACTTTTTGGGGGGTGGGGGGCGGGAGGGGAAGGATTGGGGTCAGAATGGGGCATTTGCAATTGTATGGGGGAATATAAAAATAAAATTTAATATTTAAAAAAAAAAAAAAAAAGAAGCATTAGTGAAACTGAAAATAAATACCTACAATAAAATCAAGTGTTTATATATCAAGGCAATTTTGAAGGTGGCATTCAACACAACAGGCAGAGGCACATGGGGAGCCATCAAACTCAAGGGTCACACCCAAGTATTGCCTCCACCATGTCCCAAAATTGAACTCTGGAAATACCAAAATTAAATAAAAACCCACATGAAAATTAACAACTGTAGATGAATAATTTTTCAATTTATGATAGGAAAAACTACGGGTATGACCCAAGAGCCAATAGCTACCGAGGGAAAAACAAATTTTGCTTGATAGCAATGCAAGTAAAGTCTCTGCAATTTTTAAAAGCTAATGACAAAGGAAGAAAAAATATGTGGGAAATGCATGAAATTTATAATATTCAAGATTTCTTTCAACAAAAAGAATAGAACAGTGTAGGAAGGATATTTATCAGATTCACCTAAAGAGGAAAAACAAATGGACCCAAAATATGTGAATAGAGTTTACATTCCCTGATATTCAAAAACTTGTAGATACAGCTAAGAAAGTAGAATATATAATTCCCAAACACATTTACTCATAATGAATTTGCTATAATCCTCATAGGAGACAATGTATCGAAGATCTGAAAAATTTTTCCTAAAAGCCATTTGACTCAGTCTCTATAGTTCCTTCCGGGCTTCTTTGTACCTTTGATTTAATTAGACTTTGTGAGACCAACAATTACTATGTATAGAAAAATTTGATCACATGCCAGTTACTTTACCTGAACCCCAATTTTAAAGCCAGATGGAGAGAAGAAAAAGCAGGGAGGAGCTTTGGTAAATCAGCCATCGCATAAAACTCACGTTGGTGGGTACCTCAGCATAGGAGAGTGAGGAGGAAACCAGTAGTCTCCTTGGGAGACAAGCTTTTTGGAGTTCATTTCTTCACATCAGCACCTGGAGACTCTCAGAGCAAATCTGCATTTATTTTTCTTCTTGCTACAGGTTAGTTTATGACCTTTATTACCTCTAAGACCCCAGGGGCTTAATGGGATTTTTTAAATGTATATTTTATGCTATGCAGTCTCTATTAGAAAAAATCCTTGTATTCTATATAGACAATCAAAAGAAACAGAGTAAGTAGTTGAAATATTCACGAGGGAAGGAAAAATAGACCAGAATTCACCAAAAGAGCAACTCATTACCATTTCCTGCAGAGCAGAAGGCAGGTTGGGAAGAGTATCCACAGCATATATGGAGAGAGATTTGACCTGCTGAGGTTTTATTTGAGCTTTTCCAAAAGTAAACTAAATGGGCAGATGATGGCAAGCTAGAGGTGGAGGGAGCTGCTGGAGGAACAGGGGCATATATATGATCAAGGACACACTTATAATACATGGGGAGCAATTTATGTGTTTCAACAGCCAAATACCCTGAAGAAAATGATTTGATTAGACATTTCTGACATTTGAAAGGTAGTTTTTCAAGCAAATTCACATATCCATATGGAAAAAAAGTAGCTTGGCATTATATAATAGATGTTATATTCTTTATCATTGTGTTTCTGCAATTTCTGTTCCTTGTTTATAGAGATTTATTCTGCCATTGTGCCGTCCAGGATGTGGGCTGACACTATAATCCAGATAAATTTTTGGAAAACCTCTACAATCACTGTGTACTCAGGCTGGAGTGGGTTAATTATGTGTATGCATGCGCGGGGGGTAAACGCTTTCCTTATAGCATCTGAATACATCTTCAAGTATTCAGTTGTCCAGGGTGATGGAATAAGTCTTAAATTAAGAGAAATTACCAAGGAGCTCTAGATTGAAAAATAGACTCATATTTTAATATTTGCTCTAATCATTAGAATACAGACTCCTTAAAATGCAGTACAGAATTCCCATGAGCTTTGCCTTCATTTCAGGGTAGAGAGCAAAGAAACAGGGAGCAATATATTACCAGATGATAAAGTATCATCTCTTAAGAAAACTACCACCCTGTGGTTCAACTGAATGGGACGGGATGAAACATAACTTTGTAAGTGTAGATAGGGATAGGAGAGAAGTAGTTTCCTCAGAGGCATTTACAGGTAACACCTGTGGATACTGTGATGCCATTGAATATTTTTGCTCCATCTGAAAAAGCTCGCTGCCTGCTCCAACAGCTGACACATTCTTACTATATGATACTGTTGCCTGATACTCCTCCAACTTCACTGTAACCTTCTCCCCTTTAGTTCACATTCACAGTGATTCACTTGTTTTTCTCCAAAAGTTCAGTGTGTACCTCTCAGATTCTGCTTAAAGTGATTTTTCAGATACACACATAGCGTGGTCCCTCACTTCCTGCTTAAATGTATAAAGAAAGCCCTTCTCTGGTATATAAAAGAATACCCTTCCTACTGGATTCCCCTTAGCTTTCTCCTAGTCCATATCATTATCTCCTATACAGTTTCCCCTTAGTATATATTATCTGGCTTACCATGTGTTCACTTATTTGCCTGGAGTCTACCTCTTTGGAATGTTCTTTCAGGAACTGTGTCTGTTCTGCACACAGGTGTATCTGCCTTGTCTGATACATAGTGTGTAACCAATAAGTACTTATTGAATGAATGAATCAATGGCAGAAAATTAATCTCTGGTATGAAGGCATTTGAACTAAATTTCTAAAGATCACTTAAATTGAGCTATAGAAATAGAAATGTGAAAATGAATTCATAGGAAAATTTTAAGGGTCAAACCTTTTTAAGAGAAGATAATCTACTCTGTACTTGAAAATGAGAAAGCCTATGTGAAGTAGCAGTTTCTGTTGTACAACAGTGGCCTTACAGCTTTGAGTGAGTCATTCCTTGAGTGTTTTATCAAATGATTTTAAGAAAAAACTAATGATCCTGCATTATATGAACAAATTACAGAGTGACAAAAGTTTGAGTTTTTCCTAATAACCTCCTGATACAAGACACAATGCCGGGCAAAAGAATTGCAGTCATTGGCGCAGGGGTCAGTGGATTAGGTGCCATTAAGAACTGTCTGGAGGTAGGACTGGAGCCCACCTGTTTTGAAGTAAGCGACGACATTGGAGGACTGTGGAGATACAAGGTAAGTCTGAATGTACCTCTATATGAGTGGGACGCGTTTTTTCATATCTGGGAAATTGGAATGCAGATTACTGCACTAATTTATCCTTCAACTACCAATGTAATTTTATTAATTCCTACTAATAGACTAATAGAGTGAGAGGCTAAGACTAGAAGAGTATATATCAAAACATTTAAAGTGATCATCATGAATGATATTCTACCCTATAATTCTTTATATGATTAGGTTAAACATGCACTGCTTTTGTAATTAGGGGAAAAATGGCAATAAAAAAGGATAAAAAGAAAATCAAATCTAATTATGTTCTGTTCTTTTCTATCATCACTGTGAATAGCCAGACCTTATGATTCCCTCAACCCAGAATTCTGACCCCACAGACTCTGTGCTGAGAGGAATTCCCACCTTTACTCTCATGTCTCACATACATTTTTCTTTGCTTGTTTTTTCCATCCTCTTTTAATGTCCTTCTGTTTGTTGCCCCCAATTTTTTTGCATTTATGTTTTTTTGTTTTCTTTAGATTTCTTTGAAGCAACATTGCATTATACCATTAATAAGTTTCAGGTGTGCATTGCTATAAATCAGTGTCTGTATATACTGTCTCAAGTTCACCACTAAGAGTCCAATTCAATCCTCCACATAACAATTCACCCCTTTACCCAATGTTCCTAGTCACTTTTCTGCTTGCCTTTTGGGAGAACCAAATTTGGTCTTATCATCTAAAAGTTTATTTATGTTTTATTTAATTCATTTATTTGTTTTCTTTCATTCTATTCCACATAAAAGCAAAATTATATGGTGCTTCTCTTTTTCCATCTGACTTATTTCACTTAGCTTAATTCCCTCTAGGTCACATCCATATCCTTGCACATGGCAGGATATCTTTCTCTTTTTTGCAGCTGGGTGATACTCCATGTATATATACATACACATCTTTACCCACTGATATGTCAATGGACACTTTGGTTGTTTCCAACTCTTTGCTATTGTAAATAATGCTGCAGTGAACATGGGGAGACATAAATCTCTTCAAATTAGTGTTTTAGTAATTATTCAATACATAAATAATATGGAAATTCCATTTTTAATTTTTAGAGCAATCTTCATACTGCTCTCCATAATGGTACCACATTTACATCCCCATCAACAGTATTCAAGGTTCTATTTACCTCTGGTCTCTCTTAATGAAGATAATAGAAAAAGACTTTCTGTGCTTGAAAGAATTAATCACAGATGCTTCCTAATTTGACATGTAAAAGGGGTTATTTTTTAACTGTTACTTTTGATTCCATATATTTTAATTTTAATAATTTTTAACTGAGGTAATATTTGGATATCCTCATACTTTTGATTCTAAAAGCCAGTGATTGTCCTTTTTTCTTGGTAGGAGAAGACTGAAGGGGGCCGGCCAAGTATCTACAGATCTGCCACGAGCAACACATCCAAGGAGATGACAGCCTACAGTGACTTCCCATTCCCTGATCACTTTCCCAACTACATGCACCACTCCAAACTCATGGAGTACATCAGGATGTACGTCAGACACTTTCACCTCATTAAGCACATCCGGTTTCTGGTAAGTGGGCAAAGAACACTCCGTACTGCAGAACCCTCCTGGTAGAGAGGGGAGCCAGGCTAGAACAAAGTGCAGAGAAGCTCCACTCAGCCTTGGGAGCTAGCTTTCCTACGTCTCCAGGGAAGGCAGTGAGAACTTCTCACTTCACCTCCCTCAGGAGACAAATATGGTGGGTTGACTGTGCAACTGGAATTGTCTCAGCACTAACCACACTCAGGACGACAGTTGGGAACAAAGTGGACCATGTCTCTGCCTTAAACATAGGGAAACCACCTTAATGGAATGCTCTTATGAAGTCCCAGAGAAGAGTAGGTATTGTCCATCTTACATATTGAGGTCAAGAATTCTTGGGCAGGAGGGCAGCTGGGAAGGGTGGTCACGAGTCTCTTTGCCTCATTCCCAGACGAGGGTATGCAGCGTGAGGAAGCGTCCCGACTTCTCCTGCACGGGACAGTGGGATGTGGTGGTGGAGACTGAGGGGAAGCAGGAGTCCTATGTCTTTGACGGGATCATGGTGTGTACTGGCCTTTATTCTGAGCCTGTCTTGCCACTGGAGAGCTTTCCAGGTATGTCGTAATAAATGGGAAGTCACTGGTTTCTGGAGGTTTTACCATTGTTGCTCTTGTTGTCTTTGAAGAAAATTTGTCATTCTAAAAGTCATCTTATTTTCAAAATCAATAGTATTGTTCCTGATTAAAGTAATGCATGCTCTTTCAAAGTCCAAATTATAAACAGTGTTATAAAAGGAAAATTAAAAATGCTAATATCACTACCAGTTCTGGGCTATTTTAAGTGAAAAGTGCTACATTTCCTACAATTGAAAGGCAAAACATAGGAATTATTTTGTGTTGGTAGAGTTTGCATAAATAGTAAAATCAAAGCTGTAGACAACAGTATTTAAATTTAGCTTTATTCCTGAATGTGTATGTACCTGCATACCACGATGAATATAGATCACTCTGCTCTAGTGTCATGATGCATTTCAGAGAGCAGACCACTATATTTACTACTTGGAAGACTAAGGACCCTGATAAATAATGGTGCAGGAATGACTGACCTGTATAAGGTCTCCCTGTTTATTGCTAGATGCAGGGTGTATACTCAATCTTCTGAATATACATGATTCTGGGGTTCTAGGATCCCCCCCAACTCTATTGCTTTGAGTGTCTGTTTCCCAGTATAAGAAGCTAGAGAAGGTTAAAAGAGAGGTCTATTATTTATTTTGTCAGCTAGTTGAATAGAGATTTAAATATTTCTATATTCATTCATTCAAAATTCACTCATGAGTTACCTATTCGGGACCATTGTATGTCAGAAACTGAGCAGAGAACAAAACAGACAAAACCCTGGCAAATCCAGTATGGCTGGGGTAAAGGAAAAAGCAAGAAAGAGATGGTAGGAGAGAGTGAATGGTAGGCTAAATCAATAAGGGCTTTCAAGGTCGTTGTTTGGACACTGGCTTTGACTTTGAGTGAGACAGGAATTTTTGGAAGGTTTTGAGCAGAGAAGTGGCTTGCTCCAATCATTTTCAGAAATGGTGGTAAATGAAAGCAGGAGAATAGTGAGGAGGTTTTTATACTCATTCTGTGAAAAAAAAAAAAAAAAATAAAGATGGTGGGTTGGACCCTGGAAAGACAAAGTGCTTGGATCCCGAATAGTTTGAACACAGAGTTGACAAATTTTGATGATGGACCTCTTGTGAGATGTGGCAAAATGAGAAGACTCAAGGATAATTCTAATGTTGTTGGTCTGCGCGATGGAGTTGCCATTTCCAGAGACAGAAAGGAAGAGCAGATTCTGCCTGTATGAGGGAGAATGATTGAGGCCACAATGCAACAAGATCCCAGATATCTTCAATAAACATGAAAGAGGGCCTCCCCAGTGGCGCAGCGGTTGAGCGCTGGGTTGCGAAGCAGCCCCCAGCCTCTGCAACGCCGGTTCGATCCCCGGCTGCTCCCCGGCCACCGGAGGAGGGTCCCACATGGCGCGCAGACCTCTCCTGCCGCCCGCTGCTCCCCTCAGCAGTGTACCTCGGTCCTTCTGCCTGCTCTGCTCCCCGCTCTGGCTCTGGTGAATTCTCTCACCCTCCCGCGCCTCTGACTGTACCCAGTGCATGTACAAACAAACAAACAAATAAATAAATAAATATACATGCCTCTTTAAAAAAAAAAATAAATAAACATGAAAGAGGGTGAATAGGAATAAAGACAGTTAAAGGAAAGCTTATTTTTCAATCACTTCCTATGTTATAGGAAACTTTTAAGGGGTGCTTGTAGTAATCCACAATAGTGGATAAAGCAGTTTCCATTTTTTACACATCACAAATATCACTAGTGGTGAAAGAATTGAGAATCATGCTTAAGTTTGTTTGATCTCTGTGTCTCCTCCCACCAAGGGGCAAAGAGTTCATTTTGGAATAGAAAAAAAAAAAAAAAACACATTTTCTCCTGGGCAAAGGAGACAGAGCAGGAAGAACAAAACATGGTACGTTTTAGGTATGGAGAAAGTCACCTAGGAAATTTGTTGTTTCATAAAAATAAGACAGAAAAGAAAGGATTATCTCTAGGGAGCAAAGGGATTACAGTGGGGTGAAGGGAAAGAGAAGTACTTGAAAGAGCTTCAGGAAGGAATTTCATATGGATTCTATCTAGCCATAGATAATTGAACTTGGCAACGATGGGATTTGGGAACAATAATATTGCATCCATGCCAGGAACTTACTAGGTAAGGATCAAAGAACTGCTTCCAGGAGAAAGTTAAAGCTTTGGAGCAGATTCTGTAGGGGAAAAGGAACACAACAAACCACAATCAAGACTGTCCTTGGGCCTCCCAGTGGTGCATTGGTTGAGCGCTGTCTTGCGAAGCTGCCTGCAGCCTCTGCAGCGCTGGTTCAATCCCCAGCTGCTCCCCAGCCACCGGAGCTGGTCCCACATAGCACGCAGATCTCTTCTGCCTCCCGCTGCTCCCCTCAGCAGTGTACTTCGGTCCTTCTGCCTGCTCTGCTCCCCGCTCTGGCTCTGGTGGATTCTCTCACCCTCCTGTGCCCCTGACTGTACCCAGTGCTTGTATAAATAAATAAATCTTTAAAAAAAAAAAAGAAAAAAAGACTGTCCAGTGTCACTGGAGGAGCAAAGAAATCCAAATGTGCAAATACCAACAATGTTTAAAGGATGAAATACTGCAGAATCCCCACCAGCTTTTATGACCATGCCATAGGAAGTTTCTGTTAGAGTCAGAACAAGATTTGTGGGTAAAAGTTGGAAAGCCATACACCTCTCAGCTTGAGATCTTATGGATTATATTGGAATATTTGTTCATAATAGGGGAATGAGTGAATAGGACAGGCAGGAAGGTGTACTAAGCTCAGTAGAGGTAGAAATCAGCCAGACACACATGCAATTTGGTTTAGGAAAGCAAGGCAGGGAATTGGGTCCACAGCAGTAGTTGTAAATAAACAGCGGTGACTGACAAGAAAGATGTATTACCTGAAGAGAGCTATGTTCCTCTTTGAAGTCAGGGCAGAAAATAGAGAAGTAAAAACATAAATGATCTTCTTAGAAACCTGGGGATATGTTTGATCTTGCAATTTATGGTCTGAAATGACACTGTGGAAGGATTCATTCTATTAGATGATTTGAGCATCGCCCCCAGAACTGGAATCAGTGGGCCAGCAAATGAGATTTAAGTAGGAGGGTCTTTGAGTTTAGTAATAAGCTTCAGAGGATGCCAGCAGTTAAAATAAAATAAAACAATGACCAAAGTTTGAATAATTCTCTTTTTACCACAGGGATCAAGAGGTTCAAAGGTGAATATATGCACACTTGGGAATACAAGAGTCCAGAGAAATTTCAGGGGAAGAGAATCGTTGTGGTCGGTATTGGAAATTCTGGAGTTGACTTGGCAATTGAGCTCAGTCATGTAACCCCACAGGTTTGGTTCCTAAAATTCTCTTTCCTGAGGTGCAACCTGCCCCATGCCCTCTGAGATGTGAGCACTGTGTAAAGTGTGTGTAGTGTGTGTGCACACACTGCTTTAGTCCTTTTCATTAGCTACCCCCACACCTGACACTTTGTAGACATCTAAGTAACCCATCCACCCAAAAAAAATCTTTAAAATTTGAGAATGAAATAAATATTTCAAAGCTTAGTGAGTGACATATTGTTTGTTTTTTACCAGAGCATGTAGGTTTTATCAGCTCAGCCAAGAGTTTTAAAAGTGAACATACAGAGAAACAAAAAAGTTTTAAGTACCATTTTTTCAAATCCCTCTATATTTCGTTGACATAACCCTCCACACAATCTTCCAGTTCTGATTCCTTCATATTTATATTTCTAGGGATATGAATTAACTAAGTATTCCAGACACTTTACACAGTTATTGGCAAATGAGTGGAATTTTATGCTACAATTTATTGATCTCTATCTTCTTGCATTATTATGTTTCCCAGAAGTTAGGATTTAAGAAATTGCAGGCATCAACCACTGCTCTGGAGAAAGATCAAAGGGGTGATGGGTGAGATGTAGAGGGAGGCTTGGGGAGACCCTAAAGACATAAACAACATGTAGACGCATCCTTGTGTATACAAATGTACAAATGTATTTGTTGGTCTACCTGTCTTTGAGGACAAAGGAACTCTTGTAGCTAAAAAGGCAAGATAATTGTCCATTTCTCCTCATGAGCCAAATGGTATGTATCTGAAGATTGAGAACAGGTTCCTATGAGAAGAAATGGTTACATTCTGAGGCCCTATTTTTCACTTATCGGTGTTCTCTTCTAGGTATTTCTCAGCACAAGGAGGGGTTCATGGATCTGGAACCGGGTCTGGGATAATGGGATGCCCATGGACATTGCTCTCTTCACTCGTTTTAACTCCAACCTCAACAAACTGTACCCTGCCTTCTTAATCAACCGATGGACAGAGAAGAAATTAAATGCACGATTTAACCATGATGTGTATGGATTGCAACCTAAACACAGGTATGATTAGCGTTTTTAAAAAATGATTTTGCCTCTACCTTTTGGAGTCAGCAGGTCAGACTTGGGATATAAGGATGGGACAGAGTTCATGTTTGTTTTGAAAATAAACTTGAAGTGTTGTGGGAGAATATTCGTCATTTCTTCCTTTCTTGTGTGTCTTTGCACTATTCTACTCACCTTAGAGGAAAGAAATTGAGCTTCAGGAATGTGGTGGAGGCTTCATCATCCGCACCCTTCATATTTTCAGGCTACTTTCACTTCTGTAGATTATAAGACTTTCACATAGTGGGCAAGCGGCGAATGGCAAGTTATATCATAAAAATCAACTTTATCTTCCAGGCCAAAAGAAAGATTCAGGTTTCTTGGTGGGAGCCCAGGGTCTCCATCTTATCATTGAATATCACCATATATCACCAGGTTCAGAGGCATCAGTCCTCGAATGTTGCTGAATGGAGAAGAAATTATAGGGAGTCAAGGATGATGACTTGTTAATTGTGTCAAATAAAATAATGTTGGTAAAATGTATTAAAATGGCATGTAGGTTCTCCAAATAAAATGGCAATCAGAATATGATCTGATTTTCTATTTCCAATATCAACACATGGTAATTGTTCTTCAAAATCTCTCCAAAAATTGTTTTTAAAGTCATTAGATATTAACATATCACTGGTATAAGCTTATATCCCAAATTTCAAAATCTTCTCTTTGCATACAATAAAGATTAATAGATATTGCTAGCATTCTATAGTACCTACAGAATGTTTGAGCTCAGTAGTATCTATAGAATGTTTAATCAGTAAATCATTTAGAAAAAGAATAATGAAAAAGATCTTTTGTAAAACAAAAAATAATTCTTTCACTTATTTTGGCTCAACTAAAAACTATTTTAAGCATTTTTTTAGTTCAGTTCCTCTTCAAGTAGAGTTAGATAAATTTTTCTGGACTTCAACTTTTACTCTTCAGATTTCTGAGCCACCAATCTACTATCAGTGATGATCTACCCAATCACATAATTTCTGGAAAAATTGTGATGAAACCAAATATAAGAGAATTCACTGAGACATCAGTCACCTTTGAGGATGGCACAGAAGAAGACATTGATCTTGTTATATTTGCCACAGGATACAAGTTCTCTTTCCCTTTTTTGGAAAGTGACTCAACAGTTCTGGATAGCCAGTGCACCATGTTTAAATTTGTGTTCCCGCCTCTGCTAGAGAAGCCAACACTAGCTTTCATTGGCATCCTTCAGCCAGTGGGCGCCACCATCCCCACCTCAGAGATCCAGAGCCGATGGGCTGCTCATATATTCAAAGGTATGTGCTAGCCTTGTGCATGGTGAGAAAAATATCTATAGATGGTGTGATTTCAGAGGTATTGCAAAGGTCTTCCACTGCAAAACATATGTGAAGTTTTACAGTTTTACAGTTTTCTGAAATTCTACCACTTGAGATTTGTTACTTTGGTGTTTGATGGCTACTAATCTTTAGAATTTCTGCATGAAACTAAAGATGAAAAAAGGTGTAACTTAAGGTATCATCAAAAGACAACTTATTAGCAAATAATTCTTTAAGCACAGGAGGGAGATAATAGAAAGTATCATATAGAAAGTGAGACAAGTAGTATATAGAAGTCTAGTAAAATATAGTATTAAAGGCATATGCAGTATAGAATGTAACAGTATAGTGTTTAGTATAGTATAATATATCATATCATATCATATTGTATTATATAGTATAGAAAGTGAGACCAACAGAAGAAAGATCTCAACCTAAAGTAAAGTTGGGAAATAGCAGTCATCCTTTTTCTCCCAGTTGCTAGCATCACTCCAGAATGAGTCTATATCGAAGGGAACATTTTTGCCTGTCTCTCCAGTACAAATATAAAGAGGACAAGCTGGTCAATTGTGTTACAGTCACACAGTACACACAACACAACTAAAAGATCAAGGGTTTTAGAGTCAAATCAAGGCAGAATTAAAATCCAGCTCCTTATTTAGGTTTCCTAAATTCCTGCTATGAGCGAGACCAGCCAGTATTTTTCTTTTTCTTTCTGGTTTATTTCACTGAGCATGACCCCTTCCAGCTCCATCCATGTTGCTGCAAATGGCAAAAGTTTATCTTTTTTGATTGCTGAGTAATATTCCATTGTGTATATGTACTACATCTTCTTGATCCAGTCATCTATTTCTGGGCATTTGGGTTGTTTCCATAGCTTACCTATTGTAACTAGTGCTGCAACAAACAAAGGGGTGCAGGTGCCCTTTTGAATTAATGTTTTTGTATCAGGAAGAAGACTAATTATAATAAAGTAAAAATCAAAATCAACAAGCAACTATAAATCAGAGACACACTATACGGGGGGAGAAGGGAGTGGGATCAAAAAAAGGTGGTGGAAATTTTACAGGGACTATAACCAATGAAAAATGCATACATTGTACAAAAATGAAAAATGATGTAAAATATGTTATAAAATTTAAAAAATCAATCTCCTCCACATACTGGCAGATGATCTTGACATATCACTGGAACTCTGCAATTTCCTCATTTGAATGTGGATACCTATATGTATTTTTTCAGGGTAGCAAAGAATGAACAATTAAGCACCTTAACATTCAAAGGTAAACAATAGGCATTCAATAAATATTGATCATGTGAAGATTAACCATTATTAATATAATTCTTTTTTATAATATCATTGATTCTAAAGTTGAGAATACATGAAGACTGATTCAAAACGTACCATTATGAAATTATGCCAATCACATTATAATAATTCTACATATATGTTTGCCTGTCCTTTAATTTTTTCCCATTTTTTTCTTTTTAATTATTTTCTTACATCATTGTTCATTTTTGTACAGTAATTGGTTGCTACCCTCAGGTGTAGTCCCCATAGGTCTCCCACCACTATAACACCTATGACCCATTACTATAGTCGCTCATGCTCTTCCCTCCCCTGTTGTCTACTCGCCCTCCCTCTCCTTTACTGTATGCCTCAGACCTATGGAGAACTGGCATACATTTTTTTGACCTTTTGTTTGGTTTGTCTCTATTCCATGTATAAGTAAAGCCATCTGATATTTATCATAAAGAGTTTCCATGTTTTTCTGGAACTTTCATTGTTTCTCAAAATGTAGGAGCTATCCATTATTAGAATAAAGGATAGTTAAATAAAGTGGTTACTCTGAAGTAAGGTGGAAAATTAAGAATATATCTTTCTTTAATGAAAACAATCAGAAGACAGCAAGTCACCATTAGTACCTACAATACATACTTGTGAACTACATCATAAAATAAATGAAAAACTGTAACTTTCGATATAAATGAGGGCAATACTCTGATAATAAGACTACGCTCATGCTATATTGTGTCTTATCCATTGGGTGAGACTATTTTCAGTCCGTCTTTCTTTGTGGGCTTTGAGGTCAAGATGTGAACTCATCAGACATGTGTTCCAAGGACATGATCTTGTACATGCACCTGATAAAACAAGGAGCTGAGAGCAAACATGAGTAGCTCCTGGACCCACCTCCCCCACGCCCATGCTATCTCACTCATGATGTTCTACCAAACTGACTCCTCGGGATATCCAGGTCCTCCTGAAATCCTATCTTCTCACTAAGTTTGTTAAAATTTGGAACTTCTTTCCTAGGACTGAACACGTTACCTTCAGTGAGTGACATGATGGCTGATATCACAAAGAAGAGGGAAAAAATGGAAACAGAGTAAGATGCTAGAGTAAGATACTTCTTGCTGAAAGTCAATTAAAAGTGTTTAGGAGCAGCCCTCTGCCTATCAAGCATTCTTCATATTTTTATCATCATAGAATCTGGGTCTATTTGCCTGATGGAGTTTCAACTTTTCAACTTTTGCATTTACTCTGATCCAAGCATAATGACATATGTGGGATGTTTATGGATGGAATGAGTGCAGAATAGTCCACTAAGAAATCATCAGAATTTTTGTTAAAATTAGTGGAACAGTAGATACAGCATATAATTATGAATTTACATCACATAATAGTCTCAGAGATGTAAAGCATGTGAAAATGTAAGATGAAATGAAGGACTTCTTCATTCTTTTAAGATGTTGGATTGATAAATCTTGTGGGAATTGAGTTGGCAAATCCTTACCAAATCCAATTAAGTTTCTGATGGGATGTCAGAAGATTGTAGGTTGTGCCAAATCTTCTTTATGGAAACTTATTCTCAACCATTCGGACTGGGAAAGTAATCCATTTCTATTCAACAAATGCCTGTTGAGAACTCACAATGACAGTGTCACAGCATGTTCTCAGAGATCAAAAGGCTTCATCCTAAGAAGATAACTTTGATTTTAAGAAGGTGGATCAAGAATTGAATTTTGGTAATACTGAACTACATCAATTAATACAGCAAATTAACCATACACAATAAACACAAATTACACATAATACACACAAATTAACCACACAATAAATGGCCCACAAGATTTGTCTGTCATAGTCCTCACCACCAGCTAACCAAAATGAGACAATGTCCTGATTGAGAATCAAATGCGTGGCCAAAGTATGGGATTCAGGAAGAGAAGAATATTCATAAGACAAAAATTGTCTGAAATCCAGTTTCTAGTATCCAAGACCCTTGGAAGGACTTAGGCAGAAAAAAATACACCTGCATAAATATTTTCTTAGAACCATTGAGACCATGGAGAAATCATCAATAGTTCTTAATTCTTACTCCCAAGATTATCCCTTCATGCAAGCTTCATTCAATGTTTAGATGTTAACTGTGCTAGGAGGGAGGGACACAGGGGGTCATCTGAATTAAGTTTCTGATTTGCCCCCTTTTGGGTTTCAGATTCCTGAATAACCCCCGGGACACGCGCAGAGTGTGCTATGTCGACTACATGGACGACATTGCCTCTGAAATAGGGGTGAAGCCCAACCTGTTCTCCCTCCTTTTGCGGGATCCCAAGCTGGCTCTGAGGAGTTTCTTTGGACCGTGCACACCATACCAGTACCGCCTGCAGGGGCCAGGCAGCTGGGCTGGGGCCCGGGAAGCCATCATGACCCAGAGGGAGCGCATCATCAAGCCCCTGCGGACCCGCAGCCTGGCCTGTGCCCACCCTGGGCACTCAGGGCCATGCTGGTTTAAAAGTGTCTGCTTTGCCCTTCTCGTCCTTGTTCTCACTATAGTCATTCTTAAACAGTGATTCTGTGCTCATTACAGTGGCACATGCTAGTTAAGAGATTGTACATGCGAGTGTTTATGGCTGGCTTGGGATTAGACTAGTGCCATGAATTATCTAATAATTCCAGAATTTCTTATGCACATATATGTTGGCAAAATTGGAGATTTCTTCCACAGTGATTTCAAATGAAGTGGTTTGTGTAAAGCTTTACTTGAGAAGGATATAATTAACTTTTTTAACATATGTTTTCAGATACACATGTTCTTCTAGGCATCCCTCTCTAGTAAACACACATTTTGTCAGCAACTTGCAATTGGCAATTCCTTGTGTGTGCATCTAAAACTCAGGCTAGGGAAGAAGATCTCTTTAAATAGTCTAGAAAATTTAACAATAAACAAATGTCTTTATCAAAATATATCCACTAGGGTCATATGTATAGACCATAGGTGTTGAAATGGCAGATTATTTCAGGTATGATGAAGGGTTTTCTTAGGGTATGGAGGGTGTCATGGAGAGAAAATGGTAAAATAAAAGCTGTCAAGAAATAATCATAATTTTATGTTCTAACAAGTATCTAGAGAATTTATATGTAAGGCAATACTACCATGTTATAAATTTTAAAAAAATATGAAATCCTGCCTTTTGCAATAATGTGACTGGAGTTAGAGGATATTATGCTTAGTGAAACAAGTCAGAGAGAAAAAGACAAACACTGTATGATTGCACTCACATGTGACAGATTAAAGAAACAAAACAAAAACAAACTCTTAAGCAAAAATCAACTAAATAGTGGTTACTGGAGGACACATGGTGATGGGAAGTAGAAAGGGGAAGAAAGGGAATCTGGTAAAAGGAAATCAATTGTAAGTATGGTGAAGGATGGAAACTAGACTTTTGCAGATGAACATAATGTAGCATATACAAGACACAGCTTTATAAAGCTGTATACCCAAGACCTACATAATGTTATTAACTAATGTTACTTCAATTTTTAAAAAAAATCTAATAAAATTAGGGATATCAGAAAATAACAGATAGAATGAAATCTATAGTAATTTACAAAATTCTATAATAAGAGAATATATAAGAAGAAATGGGGATGAATAGTGGCAAATGTTCCCAACATTTACAGAGACTTTTATAATCAGAGAGAATTAATATTTTGTCCTCTGATTCAGTCACTTGTATCGTTAAGTTGTGTCTGAACTTAATTCTAATATTCTGTGTGATATTCTCCTTTTACCCCCAGATTAATTTAGGTGCAATTGGAAATAAAAATTACCTGTATTTTCCCCTATATTTTCTTCTAGGATTTTTACAGCTTCAGAGCTTACATTTAATGCATTTTCCATTAATTTTTGTTTATGGGGTAGGATAAGTTTCCAATTTGATCCTTTTGCATGTGAACATACAGGTTTTCTAGCATCATTTATTGAAAAGGGTACCCACTTTCCCCATTGTGCATTCCTGGGATCTTTTTCAAAGATTAGTTGACTCTATGCATGTGTTAATATCTAGGTTCTATATTCTTTTCCATGATATATATGTTTGTTTTTATGTCAGTACCATAATATTTCCATTATGATAGCTTTGCAATAGATTTTGTAATCCAGAAATACAATACATTCATCTTTGTTCTCAAGATTGCTTTGGCTGTCTCTGTATATGCTTTGGCTGTCTCTGTCTCATGTGCAGGAGTTGTGGGGTGTAGGTGGAATCACCCTAGTACTGCTCTCCCTCAAAAAATTAAAAATAGGACTACCACATGATCCGTAATCCCACTTCCGGAATTTATCCAGAGAATATGAACACACTCATTCAAAAAGATACATGCAATTCTATATATATGGAGCCCTACTTGCAATTGCCTCGCTATGGAAACAGACCAAATACCCAATAACAGATGAAAGGATTAAGATGTGATGAATTTATACTCAATGAAATACTATTTGCCATATTTAGAAAACATGGACTCTTTCCATTTGCAACAAAATGAATGGCACTTGAAGGGATTGTGCTAAGTAAAGTGAATCATACAGAAAAGATCAAATACCACATAATTTCACTCATTTGTGCAATATAAAGAAAAATGAAAGCAATGAAACACAACACTTAGACTTTGACAACAAAATGGTGGTGACCACAGGGAAAAAAGGGGAGAAGGAATAGCTTGGTGGTGGATAGTGATTGCCATTTGGTGTGGGCATGGTGTGAATATATATAGTTGCTGAGGTGAGAAACTACACCTAAAACCTATGCAAGGTATTCAGGAGTTTTCTGTTTTCTTACAAATTTTAAGATTGTGGTTTCTATTTCTCTGAAAAAAAATGCCATTGGAATTTTGATAGAGATTGCATTGAATTTGTAGATTGCTTTTAATTTGATGATAGTAATTATTCCAATCCATGAACAGGTATCTTTCAATTTATCTGTATCTTCTTCAGTTTCCTCTTCAAGGTATGGTAGTTTTCAGTGTACAAGACTTTCATCCCATTTGTGAAATTATTCCTCTGTATTTTATTCTTTTTATGTTATTAATAATAGGACTGCTTTCTCAATTTCTTTCAGATAAGTCATTGATTGTTAGTACACAGAAATGCATCTGATTCTTGTGTATTGGTTTTGCATCTTGCAACTTTTTTTAAATTCGTTTCTCAGCTCTAATTGTTTTGGTGGAATCTTTAAGTCTTTCCATATATGAGAAATATACATAAAATACCACACTTCTTGGGGTACCATCCTCACTCTAGACACCACCCCAAGCACCCAGTTCCCCACCAACACTAGTTCAAATCCATTATTTTCTGAGAATTACTCCTTATGAATCCGTGTAGAAAAAGAAGCACAGGGAACAATTTAGCCACCTCAAAAGCACCATGAAGTGTGGCTGGTAGGTATTCAAGTCAGAGTGGCAAAAGCAGAGGAGGAGCTCATGAAAGCCAGTGCCATTTGAAACAACTCCATAGTGCCATTGGTTGGTGGTAAGTATCCCTTTTTTCTTTCTTTTGTGAGCCTTTTGAATTTCCTTATTCACCTACAGTAAATATTTTAATATTATGTTACAGCAAAAATTCATACAGTATAGGTTACCTCGTAAATAGCTTTCAGTTGCCCCATCTCAGCCCTTCATTGAGTAAAGTTGTAGTAGCATCATCCTTAACTCTTCTTTCACTCTCATTTCCCAAAAATGTAAATGGTGAGAGGGATCTACATGCACACAGTTGCTGGAAGCCTCGGGCTCCAAAGTCAGATGGACTTGGTTCAAATCCCAGTCCTACCTCTCGCTGCTATGTCGTACAGGGCGAGTCGCCTCACCCAGCTAAGTGTCTGTGTCTTCCTCCGTGACGGGTGGCTAATAGTACCTCACAGAGAAATTGTGACGATAAAATGAATAAAGCTAGAGCAGTGTGTCTTAGTGCTATGTCTTATCAGTGTTAGATGTTGTTATGATTAATATGATTTTTGCTGCCTTTCTGTCCTACTAAGGAGGTCAGAAATGCAATTCCAATCTTGATGTCTGACAAATGGCTTGCTTGACACTATGAATTGACATGAGCCACAGAACCTTCCTGGACATGTGTTATATGTCTGTTTATCCAGCCTAGCCTTGGAAATGCCTAGCAAAAACACTTTAACCTGCTTTACACTATGAATACTTTGACTGCTTAGAGGAATTACTAAAACAGTTTTCTGAGTCCAAGTTATACTTCCAAAGTTATAGTTCTCTAGTATACTGAAAATGCCCATCAAATAAATAAATCTTTTTTAAAAAAAATTTAATTTTGCTAAGTTGTATTAGTAAGGTTAAGGAAAAAAATGCACTGAACTGACCCCAGAAATAAAGCTTTTATTGGAAAGGAGGGCATGGGTCAAAGTCCCCAAGTACCTTTTCAGGTTCAAAAAGCATTTATTTATGCAAAACAGCCTGTGCAGATCCAGGAAACTGCAAAGGAATATTCTGTTGCCCTTGATTCTCTCGCATGCACAATATGTCAGCTCTCTTGCATGCACAATATGTCAGCTATGTGACTATGGGCACATAACAGTGTAAAGGGGGCTAGGAGCTCAGTCTTTTGTCCTTTCAGTCTTTCTGTCTCTACCTGCCAGACTGCTTGTGTATCTGGTCCCCTGCTTCAGCATTAAAGGCATATCCAATAAACCTAAGGTTTTAAGACTCTTCTTCCATTTGCCCAAATCAACAGTGAACCTGTCTAGCTTGGGACAGTTTCAAAATAAGTGATGTAGTTGCCAGGCTTCAACAGATAGGTATGGAGGCCTCTGAAACCTTTGGTGGCCAACCATGGGTAGTAGGTGGTATTCAGTGACCAGCCTCCTCTCTCTGTGGGCACCTCCCTATGAATTGCCAGAGGTAGATAGATTTGTGATGCAGGTGGAACAGGCCCTGTGCATAGAAAAGGAGACTTTGGAGAGGTATAATGCCCACAAGGTGGCAGGGGCTGTGAGACAGGTGTTTCTCACTGGTCTGTGAGAGTCTATGTTGAGAGAGGAAGCCAGAGTCCAGCAACTGCAGAATGAGATAAGGAACTGAAGGAATACTTGAGGACTCTGGAGGAGATTTAGGGGCACCAACCTGCCACTCCAGAGGCACCAGACTTCTCCAGAAAGCATGAGGAAGGTGGCTCCTGCTCTGAGCTCACCTGGTGACACAGAAGATGAAGCAACAGCAGCCATGGCCCTGTGGGGGAGGGGGGTCAAGCTTAGGGGCCACCCAAGATGATGGAGCTCACCATATTACCAATACACCTAAGCAGAACTACTGGACTTGGATAAATCGTTCTGTCAGAAACCAGGAGGACACATGGCAGCTTGACTGCTACATTTTCAGGTCCTGGGGGGTGGATGGGATCATTTGTGACAGCACAGGAGATGGAGAAACTTGCCTTGATGACCCTGTCCCATCATTGCAACAATGGCTGCAGGGCAGCTGGCTGTATGGCCAGGCTGATTACATTCTGGATTGGATTGGATTGGATAACAGTTGCCATGTATGATATGGCCTG